CACCTGTTCGGTGTGTTTATTCCTGCACGGGTCCAGATTCCGCTAGATTTCGACGACCTCTCGAACGAGCAACTTTATGGGTTTTTAATTACGGGTGTATATCGATGCCGCCATGGTGAAACTGATGGAAAAGCTACGAGAATTCCCCAATTCTCAGGCTCTGGGAAATTCCTGGAATTCTGTGGTCGTAATGGGGACTATGATTGAGAATAGATCGTCAGAGGATAGATATAACGATTTTTCGTACGATAATTAGTACAAGCAAATCGACGAAACGTGGTCGAACGAGCTATTTGTTCGATGGAACTTTACGTTCGTGAATACACTAATTGTTCCCTCGATCACGTTCCGTCGTCTCGTTCGAGGATTTTTAACTAGCACAAAATGTGTCAGAATTTGTACAACTGTTTTCAACGACGAGCTGCGGAATTCTACTAATAAATCTTTGTAACATCGTTAGAATCTTTGCGATAATTTATTTATGAATCTTTAAAATATGATTGTATTAAGAAAATCCTAATTTGCACAATTATTTAAAAGACTATCGACATTGACGTACGACCATTGTTGCAATTTGTTGTACAAATCAATGTATGATAAATCGTTGCGTCTATGTCAATTCACACAGAAGCCACAGACACGACGATTTTTTTTTAGAATTTGTTCAACTGAAGCGACATAATGTTCGTTTATTCGTTGACTATGGACAACTTTTCTTATGAATGTTTTCAAATCTAATACCAATTGAAAACGTTTTGTAAAGAGACTTCGTATTCTCCGAAGTCAATGAATAAACGAACTGCTTGTTCGACGATACATACACCGTTTCATTGAAGATGGCGAGCACAAAATATGTAAGAATTTGTACAACTGTTTCAACGATAATTGTAAAGTGCATGGTATTATTGTGTAGACAATGGCATGATTCCGCCGCATGACTGTCATTGCGACTCGACGTACGATAAATCGTTGCTTCTATATACAACGCGAATACGCCGATTTTTCGTGCAATAATTTATTAAACATTCCTCGACGACGACACCTACCACAGTCTTTGTAAACTTAATAAAACGTAACGTATAAGAACTATAAAATTCAGCCCACTCGTTCCACGTTATTCTATATATGGTAATTTTAATCGTATTCTGTGATTTTTAGTTATACGATCATTTTCTAAAGTCTTTCGACATGAATTTATGACCGTCGGACATTTTTACTGGCTCCTACATATTCCAACGTGATTCCTTTTAAACTCTTCCTGTTTATTCACTGTATTAACCATAGGCCATTTTTAGTCAAAAACGTTTCATGAAATACGAAATATAATATACTTTAACTCTTTCAAATCTGAAATTTACACACGGTTTTCGGCTAGATTTCGCTAACTAATACCTAATACCTAATACCTGTCTCTAATACACGACAATTCATTGATCGAAAAATTATTACACTAATACAGGTGCCAGAAGCTCACCGATTTTTCGCGTAGAATGATTCCTACATTTCTTTGAACGATAATTGTTGCACCTATGTCCTGTAATATAGAAGTCACGAGTACATCAATTTTTCGTGCAATAACGGCTATTTGAACTGTAATTGTACGTTGCACAGAGGGTTTGTTTGCATCCCGTCGATAATCCTTTCAACTTATCGTACGAGAAATCGTTACTTCGGTGGTCCCTATAATCGCGCGACAATCCTCGCGACGAGTCGTACAACGAATCGTTCCTACCACGGTCCCTGCGATCGAGGCACACAAAGAGTCGTTCGATCGTTTGAGAAACAGATCGCCAAGTTTCGCTCGAAATCCCCGCCAGAATCTGCTCGCGCATGCCGCGCGCGTCGTGGATCGTCTCGCGCGCATACGCGTTTCGCATAATTCGCGCGTGCTTCGAGAAATTTAATCGGAGAATTCTTTCGCGCTGCGATCGGAATCCGATCTCGGCGTCGACGAATGTTTGGGGCACTCGTTCGATCGAAAACTGGCGACCTATGCCAAAGATCGTCGCGACGTTCGCGGCTCTGCGTGCTCGTCGATCCTCAAACGATCGATAACCATTCGAATTTATCGATGTCGTCCTGCTGCAAAGCAAGCAATCGTCGAATTTTCAGACTATCAACGGAAACTGTAGTCGAGCATTCGAGGTGCTCGTTTGGTTGAGATCGATCGAAAAGAAAAAGGGTGGTTAATAAATATTTGAACGTTCGAGACACACTTTCCATCGAAAGGGACGATAACTATTTACGTGCACCGTCCTTTGTACACCTTTTACAAAAGATACTCATTTTTCTAGCGGCTAATAGAAATTCTAAATTATCGTTTGGGCCACTCTTTCGATCAGAAACGATAGCTATCGGTGATCTGGCACTTCTTTGCAAAGAACATCAATTTTCTAGAGATTAATGAAAACTCTAATTGAATGTTTGGAGCATGTTTTCGATCCAAATCAGTGACACTGGGTGCCTATTTACAGCGAATATCAATTTTTCGGATGATCGATAAAGAGTCTAATTGAATGGTTGGTGCACTCGTTCGGTCCAAATCGACCCGGAACGTTAACAATTAACAACGCATCTCTGGTTACCCACTTTCAACGGTCATCAATTTCTCAGACGATTAATAAAAACTGTAATTTATTGTTTGGGCAATAAACGAAAGGCAACAATGGTGCTTTGGGACACGTGTTCGCAAGAACGTAAATTTTGTGTTTGGTAAAAATTTTAATCGAACGTTTCAACCGATATCATTTTATTTAGGCAATTGATAAAAACTTTGAGCATTCGGAGCGATAGTTGGATCGAAAACGACGACGGCTAGCGTATTTTCGCGCCTCTTTGGACCGGATACACCCTACGAAGCGTCTACTGGGGGGAAAAAAAGATAGAAAACACGGGCCTGGAGTCTCGTTTCGCGTAGGCACGCGGCACAGGGCATCGGGTGTCGTCACAAGCACAGAACACAGCGTCCAGAGAGGAAACAAACTCGGAGAAAAAGCGATGGGGCGGAGGAGCAAACCGCGCGGCCACCTACGCGCGAAAAGGCGTGAAAAAAGGAGCCTCGAGGTCGCGATCGCTTATTCATGACGCGAGTTCTTCGTGAGAAAAAAACTGCACACCTTCTGCCTTCGACTTCGATAGCAATCGTAAGGAAAATTAACGCCAGCCAGCTTCCTCGCCAACGGGGAACCTCTCGTTCCACGACGAAGGCGATAGACCCAGCGAGCTCTGCTCCGAAAATTCGCGCGGTTCGACTATTTCAAAAGAAAATTAGCTAATTTTTGTCCAGAGAAAATCAAGTGAAATTCTATTAATAATTTAAAAATTGAAACCGTGGACGGTCGCTGCGATGTTTGGTCGAAGAAACATTGTTGCAAGATTCTTCGACGTTTTGCTAATTCTTTGGCAAATTCGATTCTTTTAAAGGAGACTATGGTAATTGTTCTTAGTAACGAAATATAGTATAGGCGTCACATTCTGTGCAAGAGACACTTCTATCTTTTTTAGTCGCGAGTTGCTTCTTCGACGACAATGATCGACGGAACCTTCGATCGAGGTAAAAATCGAGCAATTTTTGCCCGTGAACGAGAAACGTAGGTTGAGAGATTGAGCAGAAGCACTCACTGAAAAGACTTCTATTGACTTTTTCACCCTTTTGAAGCTCGCGAACATTTCGACAGATCTTCGCGACGTGTTTGGAACACGCGTTCCGATCGTGTATAGCAAAGATGGGCAGAATTTGGTTCGAATAACAGACGACGATTAAAAACACGTAGTAATTTATTACGTCGAACGATCGTCCAAACATATTTCCATTCGTTATAAAAAACAGTACAATGTAAGTAAGGCAGTACAATTTTGAAAGATCAGTAGCGATATAACAGTTTAAAGAAATTATACTTTTGTACTCTTTTAGTTTCCTCGATTTCGATATTGTGTTCGCTGAAAATTGCACGCGATGTAATATTTTCTAGTAAACAGCAAGCGCTGTCGCGGTGCAACTTAATTTTCAATTTTTCCACGCGCCACTCCGATTCTCAGCGTCCCGTTCAATTCCACGACCCAAATTCCAACTTTTATACGACGACAAACTCGTAAAAAAGTTTATCTCTCATTCGTAGCTCGGAGTCCTCGCGGAGATAAGAATTTTGCCCGTCGCTGATGTACAGCCAATCGGAAGAACGGAGCGAAGGGACGACGCCGATGGGATCTGCCGTCGCGACGCCGTGTACGCGGGTTTCCGTCGCGGAGAAAATCTGATGCCGATCCGGCGGCCAATCGCAGAGCGAGAATATCGAGTGGCGTCGATATTCGTGAATCGCGTGCATAATTTTCGTCGATGGACTTGTTCGCGACGAAATCTGAGCGACGGAGACGATGATTTCTATTATTTTTTTGTCCATTTGCCATAAAGGGGTGTAGTTTTCGTTGTCGAGAGACGATCGGAGAGACGGATACGAACGAGAGAGAAGAGTAGAGAGGGCGCGAACAATCGTGCAACGAGGACAAAGAGAGCAAAGACAGGAGGCTGCGGCGACGACCGAACGCAAGGTTCTCGCTCTGCGATTAGCCTCCGGGCGAACGGAATGACAATAATAACATTAATAATAATAATAATTAATAATAATCGGTAATAATAAGGAATAATAATAAAAATGACAATAAAGAGATGACGAAAAATATAATAGCGATAATAATAAAGACCATCCGTAACGATGACAAATAATAAATGACAGACCTGTCTCGTCGTTTACAATAGTTTCATTTTTTTTTTTTCTCTCTTCTTCCTTCTTTCATCCGCGATACCTCGATAATAAAAACGTCGCAAATAATATATAATATAGCTACAACCTCTCGACGTTGCCATAGATTTCTCTCTCTCTCTCTCATATACATAGACTTTGTTTTATTTATACATATATAATATTTATATCCATTCGTATATATATATTTATTTATTTATATATATATATATATATTTGTATTTATATTTATATACTTACTCTTTATACAGAAGGGGTTTTTCTTTGCGAGGGGGTACTGCTGTCGCTAGGATTCGGCACACGTTTTCCGGGACACGCGCGTCATTTTTTCCCCGTTCTGGGCGCGTGTCCTGTCCCTCTTCGCGAAAATCAGCTCGTCTCGTTCGTCTTTTCGTTTTATCTTGGTCGCGGCCCGCGCCGTTGATTCCCCACCGACTTTTTATATCCCCGGTTCCATTTTCACGGGCGACGACAACGAAGAAGACGAGACGTCGACGATGCACGCTCTCTCACTTAACTTACTAGCATTTACGTGGTACATTATTTACAGTCCATATTTACTTATGTTACATCATCCGGGCGGGTTTGCCTCGAACAAATCCCGCGCGAACACACCGCTTCTTCGCCTCTGGCCGCGTCCGTCCGTCGCTGTCCGCCGAAGGACGATTCCCCCGTGTCGTTCGTCGATGTCACACAACGCGCACTATGCCGCTACCCCCGTCGTCGCTGACGACGTTTAACGACGCGCAGCGTCCCATTTTTTAAATTTCTATTATTATACTTTTCCATATACCGAACGAACGAACGGCCGGGACGGACGGATCGAGCCGACGATCGTAACACGAATTTTTACGCACACTTTCCGGACACCAGGGTGGATAGACAATCGCGCGGATTCAGCATAGACGTACGTAGGTAGAACGTATCTAACACAGATGAGAACGATCGATGGGCATCCGGATTTTCTCGACGACGACGGCGACGATACCCTGGGGGCGTTGATTGGCGACGACCATAGACGAGGAATGAGCGGCGGCGCGATTCCCATCGCGCCGTATAACGGGCCTCCCCGTTGGCCCGGGCTCGGCCTCGTTGAACCCCATTGAACCTCGTCGAAACGATTTAGACGATGATGACGATCACTGGCGCGCGCTCTGGACCCGGATCAGATCGGTCGCGGGTCGGTTACGTCGCGCCGTGATGGTAGGCTCCTCCGTCGAGCTGCCGACTAGGAGCGGACAGAACGCGAGACGCGTCGGGACAGCTCGTTGGCCACGGCTACGAAGTGGCCGAATAGCTGCCTGTGCGCGCCTGCAGGTAATGATGATAGAACGGAGGGAGCGTGTCCGGCGGCGACGAAACCACCGGGTTGTTCACTGAGTTTTGAGAGGTTATCGAGAGGCCCAACGGGGGAGGCCCGGGCGAACGCTAGTGGGCCGCCAACGAGTGGGCCGTGAGACCCTGAGGACTGAGCATCGGCGGACTGTGGCTGTGGCCCATCGGCGAGCCGTGAAGGTGATCCTGCGTGTGGTATCCCTGATGCAGACCAGCCTGTCCCTGGTGACCGGGCGGCATACCCTCCATCATACCGTCGCCGAGCGTGTTCGGCGGCGTCATCCTCTTCTCCTTTTGCCGTCGGTTGCAGAACCACACCCGCACCACCTCTTTCTCGAGCTGCAGGCTGTCCGCCAGCGAGGTGATCTCCTGCGCGGACGGTTTCGGCTGTTTGTGAAAGTGTTGCTCGAGGGCGCCTTTCACGGACACCTCGATCGAGGTGCGCTTCTTTCGTTTCCTGCCCTGAGCGGCGATCTTGTCGATGCTCGTCGGCGAGCCGGTCGTCGAGTCCGCCTCCTCCAGCCACTTCTGCAGCAACGGCTTCAGCTTGCACATGTTCTTGAAGCTGAGCTGCAACGCCTCGAACCTGCATATCGTCGTCTGCGAGAAAACGTTCCCGTAGAGGGTGCCGAGCGCCAGACCCACGTCCGCCTGGGTGAACCCGAGCTTGATGCGACGTTGCTTGAACTGCTTCGCGAACGCCTCTAGGTCGTCCGAGGTCGGTGTGTCTTCCTCGCCGGCGCTGTGATCCCTGTCGTGCGCGTGGCCGGGGTGCAACGGGTGACCGACGGGCGAGCCCGGGTCCCTCAGGTTCGGATGAAGGCCGGTCTGGTGGTTGTGCAGCTGAGGATGATGCTGATGCGGATGGGAGTGCAGCATGCCGTTCATCGCGGCGTGGTAATGTTGAAGGGTGGTGGGCGAGGCCGCGCCACCGCTGGGATTGTAGTGGGCCGACGGTACGACGGGCGCGTGCCAAGGATGCGGCGAGGCCATCCCGGGCGATTGATGGGAACCGCCGCGATGATGCATCGACTGGTCGTTGGCCGCGGCCGCGGCCGCCGCTGCGGTCGCCGCCGCCGCAGTCAGAGGCTTCACGTCCAAACCCGCGTTCGTCTGGTGCGGATGATGATGCGGGTGATGGCTGGTGTGGTGCATCCCCATCGAGGACGCCCAGTGATCGCTGCTCGGTTGAAGGCTCACCCAGGGGTTCGCCGACGAGAGGCTCGCCGTCGGGTGCGACAACCCATTCGGCGACGGGGACGACGACACCTGATGATGATGATGGTGGTGGTGATGATGCTGCGGCGCCGGCATATACTTCATCTCCCCGGCATCGGCGGCGCTGCGAGGCGAGCCCGAGGAGTAGCCACCCACGGCGATGTTCATCCCGATCGCGGTACCCGAACCAACATCCAGCTCGGACGACACTGCGCTACCAATCGGCATGTACGTGGTAGCTGCCATCTACCTCCCCTCGTTCAGAGGTATCGACAACCCTGCTGCTCGCTATTTCCCTTAAACTGTCTTTCCTTCTTCCCAGCGTTCAGGGCTGCCCCGACAGGGCACCCTCTCGGTTTCGTTCTCTTCGCTCCTCGCCCCGACCGATATTCGTCAAAGTCCTTTTGCTTGAGTGTTCCTCTGATTGCGTATTCCTTGGTATCCTGGTAGCGCGAATGCCGCGAATCGATCGGTAAACAAAACGATAAATTCAACCGTCCTTGTCACAGACTCCGGGAACTTACGCGGAACCTCGTAACCGACTATCTCTTCTAACGTACTACGATGAATGTTCGAAGAACTCTGTTTCCTGGTCAGCGATCACCGATCACACGCAGCGCACAGTCCATCGTTCGCGACGACGCACCAAATCCCGAGCAAGCGGCATCGTCGCGCGTGCGAACAACTCGCAGTCCATAGTTTTGTCAGATCGACGATTGTAACCCGCGTACGGTACGACGAACATACAAACTGGTGGATTTCACCCGTCCACCGGGGAGGATTGCTCCTCCGGTGACGCTGTCGTAATCTCGGGTGTAAACGCACCCCGAGCCGCGGCTGTCGAGCGAAATTCTCGGAACAAACCCCGATAACACTCGCGAGGTCCTTTTACCGGTGGTGATCACTCATCGCCGGGACGCGTTATTATCACTTCTTAGGTCTCGTTCGCGAACCTAGTCGCTAGCCGATGGCAGACTCGTCGTGGACGGTGCACGTCGCGACACTCGCGTGAAGCAGTACGGTCAGGTACGACGCTGCTGGCACGGGCACAGGACGGTACTCCGGGAACGCGAAACGGATCCGCGACGACGAGTGCGGACGAGCGGCAGCCAGCACGGTAGGCGAGTAAAAGGTGCACGGCGGTGTCTCCGGTTGCGCGCGTGTGCGTTTTCCTCGCGCACGGTTGTCTCTCCCGGTCGCGAGTGTGTGGTACGCGACGAACAAGAGCGAGAAAGAGGAGAGAGAGTGAAAGAGAGAGAGAGAACGATCGTGTGTTGCGCGCGAGAGGAGAGACGACGGGTCGCAAAAGATCTCGCTCGGGCTCTCTCATGCGTTATGCATGTCGTAGCTGAGAGCGACTGACTGCCTCGCCTCGCAGCTCGCTCGAGGTTCCCGAGGCTCCCGGACCGCCGCACGGTGGAACCGACTCATGCGCGCCACCGTCCTGCACATCCCCACCACCGGCCAACACTCGACCGACGATTGGCTCGGCTCGCAAGGTGGCCGTCGACGAACGTCACCGTCGGGCGGAACCCGAACCGACCGCGCCCCCTAGGCAGCCTACGCACCCCAGGCGCCACTGCTCTCACCCCTGTCCTCTCGCTCCGCGCCCCTACCGCGCCGCCACCACCGCCGTCGCTGCTACACTCCGACTCGCCTCGACCAGCTCCAAGCCTCCGCTCGACTGCGTCCGCTGACGTTGACGCCGTCACCGCGCGAACACCCAACGAGTCCGAAATCGAGGGGCCAGAAACCGTCAGCCGCGCGACTCGACCGCTCCTATCCGTGGCTCCGTGCACCCATGCACCCGTGCTCCGTTCCACGAACCATCTAGCGCGCAACCCTTACGCCACGGAGAGGAGATTCCTTCGGTTTTCTCGTCGTCGACGATGCCGCTTTACAGCCGTCCTCGCGTATTCGCGCGTTCCTACGGAAGTCCGGTCACGGAGGTCGCGGAGCTGACGCAACAGGTCCCAATTTTCGAGGCTGACTCCGCGGAGCCGCCGGAACAGCGATAGAATATGCACCGATTCCTCCTAGCGTCGGAGATGCGCGGTTAGTCGCTTTTATCGCTTTTCCGGTTCTACACGGAGGTAATTTTTAACCTTTTGCGCTCCCGTGGCTCGATAGCTCCGAGACCCGAGTTTCTATCTTGACAAAAGATGGATGTTTTTTTTTATCTCAAAGATTGGTGTTCAATGTAGAGACCAATATGTATATTATATTGTGAGATTTTAGCTTGTTTCTTTTATTTGTTTGCACGAAACTAGCATTTAAACTAGCATGTTTTCCTCGCAACTTCTATCGTTTTGAATTCCTGTCTCCGATAGTAGCATAAAAGTGATCCAATTTCAAACTTTTCCGTGCTCCCTTCTAAACTTCTATCGAGACACCATGCAATAATGTAGAGTGCAAATGAGAATTTCAAGACTTTTAAAACGACGTAGCTTCCACATAAATAAAATAGATTCAATTTTAAAAGAGTCGTGCAGAAATGATGCTACGTGAAATGGAAAAATTCAGCACCCTGATGTTACGAGAATTTGCTTAAAAATTTTAGTGATACGAGAACAATTGTATTTTTAAATAATTGGACGAACCGAATAGTAGGCAATATTGTACAGTTTTGAATACTTGAAAACAAATCTTGTTGAATGTTTTATTACTTTCAGACGTTTCAGTCATTGAAAAACACGATTTCTTTATTTTATAAACACAGATGTTCCTTATCTGCTTAAACTCACATTGTATGACACTGTAATACGTACGAAGGAAACAAGTACCCATCGCAGATGTTTTGAAAATTACGTGCAAGGGTGTGGATTTGTGGAACGTTAAAATGTGTACGTAATTGTAATAAAATTATATGTCGAGGAGAGCGTGCCGTTCGAGCGCAAAGGGTTAATATATCTCTGTCGCCGAGCCGCTGAATCTTTACTTCGTGTTTGTTTCTTAGTCGATCGATATTCGGTTTAACCCCTCGCCTTGCAGAAACCATTAGAGACTGGGACGTAATTCAGGAAATTTTTTTGCAAAAATAATGTTCCCTGTATTTATGATGTTTGCTATTCGTAAAATGAATCTGTTCCTATTATGATTACCACATACGCGAACATACTTAAAAAAAAGATCAAGTAATGGACGTTTGAGAAATTGTATTTAATTTGTACAACAAGGGGTACGATAAGGAAATGCGTATTTTGAGTATCGAGTCCGAATCATTTGTCGCGGTAGCTCATTAGAGATCGCTCGTGGCGTCACGTGACCAATCGACCAGAGTTTTGTTTCTCGAGATGTTCGATCGATTCAGGCGACGGCGCGGTGCAAGCGATTTCGAACGAAATGATGATCGCGCGAACAGTTGAATGGTATTTTATTTCAGCGAGCTATTCAAAGCAGCCATTTGTAATCAATTGTTTTTGTATACAACAGATTTCACTGATCTATACCATTATGGATAATAAAGAGAGATATTAACGAAACGATGCATTTATTGACCCTCTTATTTCCGTTTCATTTTGCACCTTATTCTCTTGTGTGTAAACAGTACTCTCAAACCTCCATTATTTAAGTTTAAATTAAAAGAAGCGTCCAACCATCAAATGTTCTCATAAAAATAAACATCATTTATGTTTTCAATCGTCGAGCATTCCTTAAATTATATGCATATATCGCATAACATTGAAAAAATGTTAAAAACCGTAACTCATTAGACTATCCGGAACATCTGCAAATTATAGCTTGAACGTTTCAATCTCTTTGTTTGGGTTTCCATCAGGAACTAAAAATCGATGTTAGATACGGAGATATAACATTTTTACATAATCAGAAAGTAAAAAACGCTTTTTTATATAATATAAGACAACGAGAATGATTTACTAGGAAGGTTATGCAATCTGCAGTGTTACGTAATCGACATTGATATAATATATAACATTTTCGATCTCGTTATGTGTCCTTTTTAGGACGAGCATAGTACAAACGAAGGAATAATATTTAAATGTAAATATTTCGTTATATTACACTTTGAATCTACGTTTCTTTGGTAACTGCATAAATTTAATTTAATTTAAAACTAGTAAAACGTACGTACACACAGTATCTTTTAACAATGTTAGAATAAATTATAATCAAATCACACTGCTGCAAACGAACAACAGCAGACCAAAATTGCAACCTGCCATAGATATATTTACATACAAAATACAGTCTATTATTTATTTATGAGTAAAAACATAAAATAGGGTAATTAAAAGAGTGAACATACTATTTCTGTTATTTCGTTTAAAAGTACTGATCTCTTTGCATCCAATAGGGGTTGAAGTTTCCAAGAAATTCGAAGTTTCGTTTTTCGGGGTATTCGGTCCCACTTTGGGAGGACGGGACCGGAAGTGGCCCGCGCGCAACAGGTACTGGAGCTCGAGGTGATTAATTGGGAGGGAAAAGGGGGCCAGCAGGGCCCCTGGAGGGGGTGGTATCAATAGGTACCGGCGAATGAAAAAAAAAGAAATCTGGTTTCATCGGGCGCGAGTTAACGGCGAGCAAAGCCACGGGGAGGGAGGGAGAAGCTTCGCGAGCGAGCGAGCAAGCAAGGTTTAGTACATTTAAATGAGAGCCACAGGTAGCAGCATTATGCAGTACGTGCCAGCCACCCCTCAGGAGGGGTGAGTTAGATCATCGTGTGCCGGGGATCCCCTTGTGTCGTACCGTTTCAACTACCCAGCTGGCTTTGCGCCTTCGCACCTGTGGGCACCCCGAAGATCTGGAGGGGGCAGTGTGGATCTTTCTTTTTTTATTTTTTATTTTTTGATTAACAGTGTTTCTTGAAGCTGTCGAACGTTAAGGGTACGAAACTTATTCACTCATTGTCAGCTAATATCTCGTCGGAGCAACGACTAGGCATTTTGGTTGCGACACCGGAGTTAGTATAGTGGAGAGAGAATGGCTGGATGGGATTCAGATTTAGGGATTGGTAAAAGGTTATTTAATTCACCAGTGATCAAGAGTTGTGATTGCATAAAGTAATGACCGTTAGTGTAACTATTATGAAAACGTAATTTATCGGCGAAAGGATCGTGAACATCACTCAGAGACATTATTTATAGCTTCTTGCCGGTATGTGAGTAAGAGGCGATGCGAAGTAAATGCTATTGTAAAACCTAACCTGAATTTAGTATACCCCCCTGCTTTCGATCGAAGTTTCGCGTTATTTTCTATCGTCGACGCAACAATAACGCAATTGCGAAAATCTGGTTTTCCAAGAGACGAAGGAAATCAATTTCATTTAGTAACGTTTGTTATTAAATGGCGAAGGAAGCGTTTCATAATGTCGGGATCAAAGCAATCGTTGGCGTTCTCTAGTTTCCTTTGAAGAGTTACTCGCAAATAATGAAATGGGAGATATTCGATCTTGCGTAAAAAATATTAGTAAATTTTATTATATAAGAAAAGGGCTGAAGGAACTTGCGATCGTATAAACTAATGACTAATAATATTACTGTTATGAAAAAAAACGAATTTATTAACGAAAGGACGGATTTTTATTGCATCGCGAACATCACTCGGGAGCATTCTTTGCAACTCCTTGCGGTAATTACACTTGCTGCTGTATCCACTTGAGAGCCCTCTGGAGAACGATTCTCGCGAATAAAACAGTCAAGTGGACGCAAGCATAAGAACCGTGTCGATACTAGTACGCATTCCAACTCTTAACCCTATCGAGCCTCGTGTCGACGGATTTGAGAAAATTGAGCTTTCCGGTTGTTCGTAAATATAATAATAACAAACGAAGCTCGTCGATGGTAGCATAAAAGGAATCTCAATTCTTCGAGATCGTACCAAAACTAATGCGTCGGCCATTCCGAACGACCATCCACGAAGTGCAACAGATGCCGCGACGTTTCTGGGTCATCGTGGAAGAACTTCGTCCCGAATTCCGCTGCGATTTTGTCGCACGTCCCGATAAAACGGAAGGAAGTTGCGCAAGAAGATGGAACGACGATGAAGACACACGCTAATGCTAATGACAAATCGATTTTTCCTTTCGAGAAAATATTCTTATTTTATTCCAACTCCAATCGTTCAAGTTTATTCTGTATTTCACATGTATATAAATTGTAGCATTTGTATATTAAAGCAGTCAAAATGACCCATATGTAATTTCTAATAAATCTGATTTCACCGTTAAAAAACATCGTTCACATTTCGTCTAAACTTCCTATGGTAAACTTTACACAAGAGTCTTAATTTGAAGATTAATAACCCTCACAAACTTTAAAATTATAGAACTGTCACACGTTGCACGAATTTTATTTCATTAATTGTTGAATTCCGGTATTTCCTCTGAACTGAAATATCGCAGCCTGAGTTTCTGCAAGCTGAT